GGATTTTCAAGCCACCTACCTAGGTTAATGTAGGTCAAACCTCTATCTTGAATTAAACGAATAGGTTAATCGTGATTAAGCCGTCCAACCATCTGTTTGAAGGAGAAGGTAAGTCAACCATCAATTGGCTTAACCAAGAGGGCTACTCTAGTAGCCTATAATGTATCCCTTGGTTTGGCAATTGAGAGTGTGACCTTCGACCATAGTTGCACCTCTTAGCGGTTTACGATTGCCTCGCCCATAACGTCCCATTCGAGTCCACGTGCTATGGTAGTAGTTAGGGGGGAAGTGACACCCGATCGATCCTTCTCATACAGAGCTTTCAAACCATTTACCTTCGATTTGTTTTGATTAAACCTCATAGTTTTCAAGCGAAAACCAATCCGCTAGATAATGTTCCGAACAATGGAAGTAGGGGTACATGGACCGGCCCGGGTTGATATTTAAACATACTTTCCTTGTATTGCACCCATCTAAAGTTTATACTTGGGCCTTATGTGTGAATTTTTTGTGATATTAGGGACGAGTCAACTATAATCTCAACAATCTTATTTTTTGTTGAGATTGTAAATCATTCAGAATGAAGCATTGAAAATGTATTCTACAATACATGCACATGACAAAAAAAAAAAGTATTCTACAATACATGTATGGCTTACATACACATTTTAAATCACGAACACCGTACATGATCTAGTTATAATAACAGTTGATTCAACACATGATATGATGATGCACTAATGTAAGCTTCAAATTATTGACAAACTATGAACTCATATTATAACGAGTTAACGTTTTATTTGAAGAATTGTACAAGAAAATACATTGTGTATCATTCTCTCCAAACAAACTCAAATTATTGAAGATGATCAATTAGCTCTGAGTATAGCATACACCAAGAACAAGCCGACTAGCCCTAACTAAAATGGTTGAAATTTCTATAAGAGGAATGTAAACGTTATGTGCAATGACATCAAAGAAAATTTGTGTCACTTTGGCTGAATGTATACCCGGCACCGCCGACTAGTAAAATCTTCGCTTTGAAACTGTCTTCTTTTAGTTAGGTCAAATTCGGATTCCTATTTCTTCACTATCTTGCAACTTGTATAGGGCTCAAGATGGGTTATGCACCCATCAATAACCAAATCTGGACCCTCCATTTAGAAAATCCAGATCTAAGGATGGAGAATTAAAGGTCATTTTTATTTTCACTAGCTTTCTTAATTGATTCATATCTTTTTCGTTTTAACTCGGATTTTAATTTTTTTTGCACAGATGGAATGAGTTCATCGTGCTCTACAAAATGAGACCAATTTTCAATATTTTTTGAGGAAAAAAATATTCTGGCCTCTCGGTACCAACTGCATACCATATGGTATCTTCTTCGTTTTTCATTCGTTTTTGAAAACGTTTGCACAGCAGGGACGAGTTCATCATGATCTATTGGATCTACGAATTTCTGGGTGAACAAATTACAAGACCAAAAAATATCACACAATACCATACAATACCACCCTGGTACGGGGTGGTATTTTATGGTATCTTATGGTATACAATGTTAAAAGTCGTAAATGACAATTAATATACTTCTACTATCATGTATTCAATCATCCTACAGTCTTGGTTTGTTCATAACACCATGGTACACTTTTCAAACCATACAATACCACCCTGGTACGGGGTGGTATTTTATGGTATCTTATGGTATACAATGTTAAAAGTCGTAAATGACAATTAATATACTTCTACTATCATGTATTCAATCATCCTACAGTCTTGGTTTGTTCATACCACATGGTACGCTTTTCAAACCATAGGAATGCTCTTATTTCAATACCAGTCAATACCATATGGTATAGACTAGTAAAAAATGGCTCAATTTTTTTTGCTCGAAAAATATATCAAAGTGGATATCATTTTGAAGAGCACAATTAATCTGATCTAACTGTGCAAACAAAATTAAATTTCGACTTAAAACGAGTGAGAAATCGTCTTTCAAAGATTAAGGAGGAGAAAATTAAAGGCTTTCCAGGAGAGAGAGGATGCTGATGTCATGCTGATGTGTGCGGGTTACTCATAGTTACTCACCATAAGGTTACTCACCTTATCCATTCCCCTTGTATAGTATGCATAAGGACGATTTTTTTTCCGATACCAAATTGTATAAATAAGGTTCGTTTTTGTATATCTAGTGGCAGAGCTAGATTGAAATCAGACTAGCTATAACCTTCCTAACTCTGAAATATGGGTAAAATTTATATAAAATTCATAGTGAATTTTTTTAAAAAAAAAGTAATTTGTAAAATCTTAGCTCACTCGCTCCAATTACCACAATTGGAATCAATCCTTTTTCTTTCAAATTTTTTACTTTGCCATGTATCAATCTTCTGGTCTTTTGATGTTGAAAAAAAGTATACTAGGCTTTGGGCCCTAGACTTGCTATGTTGATATATTCAAACTTATGAAATTGATGTTTCCTGTCCAAATCCATGCACGAGGTTAAACTTTGTTTTAAATCCTATTCAAGCTAGCTAGCTCCTATCAATTCATTGGCCTCCAAATCCATGCAGGTAGACAAATACACCGAATCTTTTCCTTATGTACCATTTATACACATGTCACCCCTGGAGTAGTACTGTAATTATTTAATTTACTTATTTCTACGAAAGACTATAACATCATATGGAGGTTCTTAGGGTATCAATATACATTATACACTATATAACTTTGATAGTATGCATTCTTGAACCGAAAAACTAGCGAATCTTATTCTTAGGGATGGATAAGCATTCAGTTCATACTGCAAGTAGATTTATTTAGTTTTGCTATGAGTTGTATAAAGTTCATTAAGATCTAATTTCATTAAATATGAACATTCAAATTTATTTTTTCGACTCTATTTATGAAACTTCATGCATATCAATTTGTTAAAAAAATGTTATGAATCGAATCAAATTAGTTATAAGTTTTTTTCTAGTTTGGATTCTTGCTTTTTCCTTGATTCCATACCCAGGATTGAATCTTGTGATCTGCACTTGATTCTAAGTTGTTTATGTACTTGGTGGTGTTATGAAACTAAAGTTAACATTAATAATACAAGCCCTCATATTTTCGAATCAAAATTGAACATAATATGCAATGTATTTACTTTAAATTTCCCTCAATTTCTTCACTATTAATCGTAAATGTTAGATCCCCAAAATTTATTTGATAATAGTGGTCGATGACAACATTTAGGATCAAACAGTAAAAAATGTGTGTAAAATTTCAATTGATACCGAAAGAGCAATTCCCCCTAGCTAGCGTGGCCCGTGGGTGGCTTTCACTGTTCATCATTTCCTTTCCATTTCCGGACTCCTTCCCGCGAGCTTGGCCCACCACTTTCATTGATCGTTTCTGGTTAATTCTAATCTCTTCTCCTAACAAAATTTTTTTTTTAATTGAAAATGATAATCAATTAAATAATTAAGTTTCTTATTTGGAAGGTAATCGCTTACATTGATAGGAAACTTCTTTTTCATGGGCTTAGGAAAAAAGAAAACAATGATGGCTTGGCTTCTTCTAAACGTCTTCCCTTTGTGAAAAGCTTTTGCAATATATATATATATATATATATATATTTTTTTTTTAAATATATAAATATATTTATGTTGGTTCTTAATTCCTTGTTGTTCTTCCCATATGGCATTGGCAACACTACCTACTCCTCTTTACTATATTAAAGAGAGGAGAGGCAGCCTTGCGTTACTTCCCCCGACTTGCCTTCATTTCGTAAGCTTAGTAGCTTCCCCCTTCAACTAAACTGCAGGGATTATTTTTTCCAGTTGTTGAAATGGATATGGATTCTGTATTGACTTTGTAAGCTGTGATTTTGATGGATGGAATTGATGGATTTTAAATCCAAAAAATGGATGTAATTGTGTGAATGGGTGGTCTTACTCTACATTACTGATTTGGGTCTACTTATAACTTTGGTTATTTGGTTGAGATGGAAAAATCTTCAACCCTAATTAGGACGTAAGGCTGTTGCAAGAACTAATTCATAGTATAGTAATGCAAATTGTTGAGAGAAACGTAATAATATGAATTTTTATATACAATGTCGGAGCTAGAAGATAAGGTGTGTCCTTTTGCATAATACACAATTAAAAGTTTCTAAATAATTTAGTCATAGATAAGAAAATAATCAACTAATTATTTACCTTATAATCATGATATGCTTTCGTTTCTTAAAAGAATTTGGTTTAATAATTCATGTTTTAAGAAAATAGAAATAAACTAGTTGTCTACGGTAAAGTAAGTTTCTTTCAATATATTTCATTATTTCTTCACTATTTATAAAGCATCTCCTTATACTACTATATTGTTAAAGTATACGTTTTTCATATCGTTATGTCTTTTCACTTCTAACAATTTCAGATCCTATAACAGCCTTAAATCAATCACGAACATTACAAACAATAATTGACTAGAAGTTATCGTTTGACAATTTTCAATCGATATCATCGTTCAAACAACTATAAGAAATTTAACTCTCCCAAGTATTACCCTAATCGGTTTTTGGCAAATAAGGGCTAGCTACTAGTTCCAATCCATGGCATTGCCCCTTGAGACCACTTTGATAAGAGTACATTGACATGTGTCTAAATACTAAAAAATCATTTGATGATTCGAACTCTCTTTTTGATTTCAACTCCCCTTTGATTCAACGGGTGGATTAATCCACACTAGGTAAAAAAGTAGTTTTAATTCATCCGTTGAAAGCGAAAAAAATTAGTAAAAAAACTCAGACACGGCCCTCCCTTATCGTTTGCGATACGTTTCCCATGCAAAAAGAGAGAGAACCGAAGTAACACCCATCCAAGAGTCAAAGCCTCTATATAAACATGCCATTGCCCATCACACTTCCTTCACAATTGAAGTTGGTTATCATTACCTAGCTTCACGGCAACAAATAAAGAACTGAGCTCGCTACTGCAGTTGCCGAGTTTCCAACAACAATGGTGAGGCCACCTTGCTGCGGCGAAGACGAGGAGAAGGTGAAGAAAGGCCCCTGGACGGCCGAAGAAGACGCCAAGCTCGTCGACTACATCACCAACAAGGGCCACACCAACTGGAAGTCGCTGCCCAAGCTGGCGGGTCTCAACCGCTGCGGCAAGAGCTGTCGCCTCCGCTGGACCAACTACCTCCGCCCCGACATCAAGCGCGGGAAATTCTCCGACGAAGAGGAACGGCTCATCATCAACCTCCACTCCGTCCTCAGCAACAAGTGAGTCCACCGAAAACAAAACCATATATTCACTTTATTTTCTGATTCCTGCAGCTGTTGGTCTCGTGATGGTTCGAATTTTTTTTTTATTATTAATACGTGTGTAAGTTCGTTTTTTTTTTTCTCTCGTCACTGTAGGTGGTCGAGGATAGCGACCCACTTGCCGGGAAGGACGGACAACGAGATCAAGAACTACTACAACACGCACATCAGGAAGAAGCTTCTCCAAATGGGGATCGACCCGCAGACCCACAAGCCGCGGACCGACCACAGCCAGATCATCAACCTCACCCAGCTGATCGGGGCAGCTCAGCAGCTCAACAGCATGATGATGCTCAGCAATAATAGTAACGGTCTTGGAAATAGTAACAACAACTACAATACCTCCGTCACTAATGGTATCATTTCCAACGGACTTTTAACGACGAACCTGCATGAAGCTGCGGCGAAGGTGCAACTGGCGCAGAACCTGCTGCACCTTTTCAACCCGACAACCGCCACCTCAGCTTCACCCTTCCTGGCCCAACAACAATTGTCACAGCAATTTTTTTGCAACCAGCTCATCAATACTTTGCCAGCTTTGGCGACGGCTGGTGGGTCGTCGCTAATGGTCAACAACAGCAGCAACGGGGCTTTGGCCATGCCGGGTTTGGTATCGCCGGAGGCGTCATCATCGACGTCACTTGTTCATACCAACAACGTTAACGGCGGCGGTGAGATGGAGAGGATGAAGATGGAGTCGGGGAACAACAATAATTACCAGCAGAATTTTTCGGACGGAACGACGGCGACGGCGGCCGATGTGGGTGGTGAGTACGAAGCTTGGGAGAAGATGTTGCTGATGGATGACGACTTTGCCGTCCTCGGCGGCAGCACTTTCTTCTCGTCCTGGAAAGATGACCATCTTGTGTTGGAGTAGGTACGTTGTAATTACTTTGCCGTCACCTTGTTAGGTAGTTTTTAGATATAACTATTGAATTGAATTCCTTGGTAATTAATTGCGTGCGTGAGTGAGTTGATGAAAATCTATCTGGATTCAGTTTAAGTAATTAAGATTTTCAATTTGCAAGTCCGTTATTTCATTGTGAAAGCCCTAGACTTCGGTGCACTTAGTAACAAATTTATAAATAAAATCTACGATGCATATCCTTTTTCTCAATAAATTTTGTGATTTCATCACGTTCGGCAAAAAAAGAACATAAATTTGTAACACTTTTATCTACTTAATTTACGCAATATAAATTGTATGAACATACATGTTCATAGAGTGTTAACTCTTATCACATCAATATTTTGTTTACTTCAAATCTCGATAGCTTTTATTATAAGCTTGTGAACTTAGTGCGGGTAAAATTATTTGTGAAACTTTCGTGTTTATTGACGGAATTTATTAATATTCCAAGTATTTTAGCCTAAAATTGTTTCTTAAATAATACGATTTCGCTATTGTAAAATAACGTCGAACTTTTCTCAGTTACAAACTTGTTACATATAAAATTCCCCTGTCACCTTATTCAAAAAGCTAGTTGATGAAAGTTTTATCCTTAAAATTATGCCCTTAATTTACTCTCAAGTCATTTTCCTTCCTTTTCTTAAATTATAACTAGAAATTCTTTCTTGTTGTTCTGCAGTTTATCAGCACCACCCACTCTCTGTCGATGATGTACCTGGCTAGCATTCGAAAGCTTTACAATAAGAGAGTCTTTGCAGCAACTAGCTAGTATTCTTATTTGTTCATTTATTAATTATAGTTCCATTTTTCATATCAATTTCCTTGGGTTATAGGGGGAGAATTTCCTTTGAATTATACTATATATGTACAGAAATTGATACATGCAAGGTCGAAGGCAGTCCCAACTAGATCATTCGAGACACAGAAAATAAGGACAAGAAGAAAGAACAGAAACGAACGTTTAATGTTGCAATTTGCTTTCATTCGTAACATTTTTAATAATTTGTAGCGCTCTCTCTCTCTCTCTCTCTATATATATATATATATAGTATTTCCTATATTCCTTCACTTCCCGGTGTATATGTTGCTTCACAGTTTCTCTGTCAAACACTAATTTTTTTATCCGATTATCAAAAGAATAGTTACATATAAAAATCAAAGTTATCTTACACGTATTGAGTAATATCTCTTTTATTCTCGAACCTTCCCAATAATTCGTGCTATATACGTAAATGAACGAGACGTTAACGCAATACCTGAGAGCTATACATTGATTGTGATTTATGAGTCCGTATTCAAATTTGGACAATCCCATAATAGTATGCATGTACAACATGTGTAAACATCAACCTTATACACATTGACTTTAATTTGAAAGAACATGTCAGAAAATTACGTAAGATCCATTATTAAAATTTTTTCTTTAAAACTCGAGTTTTTTTTTTTATGAAGGTGAAAATGCATTAACGGAAGAAGAAAAGAAGTTTGAAGTACAGCTGGAATCTATCACTAGCACAAGGAGTGCCAGTAATCAGATTGGAGCGACAAGAATACGAAAAAAAAACAAAAAACATAAGCAAAATACTCGAGTTATTGGATAAACCAGAGATGACAAAGCTAGATATCACTCTTCTCTGAGCCTTATGTTTCATGCGAGTGCTTCCCCACACAGAATGATAATTTAAAACGTTAATCACGATGGGATAGATATAATGTTGATCAATTGCTTGAGCAAAAGGACCATAATCTATCGTAAGCTACAATGGTCATAATAAACATATATATAGCATGAACCATATATATAGATATCAATTACATAAGATCTGGTCGATGGAATGAGCTCAAACCAATATATATAGCTTATAGGGCTCTTTCATCGCCATATCGATTAGTATCGAGTGACGTTATTTTTACTCATTGTAATCATATCGGTCTACTATTTCATCTGATTATGATATAAAATAAATAAATATATATAGCTTATAGAATCAAAAGATATGCTTTGAATATATTTTGGATGAGCCCCACTTCTATGCCTGCAAGTATTACGGCTTCCACATATTAGTTGAATTTGTAACATAATGTTAAAGGTACTATAAAGATTTTTTGTATGAAAATGTATAGATACAAGTTGAATTTATATCATTTGCATTATAACATTAAAGATACAAGTTAAGTGTTTCATAAACATTTTTGTATATATATAGAAATTGAATTTGAATCATAACTTTAAAAGTACAAATTTAATTTGTATCACAAAGGTTCTTGTACGAAAAGATAAGGAATAAATTGAATTGTATCATAATTTGTACCAATTGTTTTCTTCTTTTTAACAAAAACACAAAAAGTAAGATATATACATACACATTCCAATTCATCCTCCTAACAAAACCCTAAAATAATAATAACCTTTTGGAGGCATAATTTAGAGATCAGATTGAGTGGTTAATTATTGGTTTGGGTGAATTAACGAGAAGAGCCAAAGACACAAGAAACGGAAGGAAAAGTTGGTTCCCTATTCCCAAGTTTGTGTTGTCGACTCGTTAAACCCTAAAAAACAAGCTTTTGACCTTGGATGAGAACACAACCAAGTACAACTCATGACACGATATCATTGTCAAAGTCAAACATGTCATCCCATTTTCAAAACAAATGCTTTTCCTCTCTGGCTATTATATACATGTACACGTTCCTGTCACCATTTCTCCCACTGTAACCATCAGGTGACGACCAATAACACAATGAAACCTTCATTTCAGAGGGAGGAGAAGTAATTAAGTTAGAATATTAGAATTTGGAAGAAGCTAAGTATTGGAAGGTAGTGTGTTGTCTGATGACTAAAAGTCGGTATTGGTAGTTGCTAAATGGTTACTTAGTAGGTGTGATATGAGAGAGATCAATATCTTACGTCCAATACAAGCAATTAACTGTAGCTCCCAATCGAATACATTATACATGGAATGGAAGAAGAAGTATAATTAGTCTTGGGATTTTGTAGCTAATTAGTTTATTCTTATGCTCCTAAACTAATTAAATCAAACTAACTACTATTCAAAGTTTCGACTTGATTGAATCGGCTACTTCTAGGAAAGGCAATGGGATAGGGTTGGGGCAGTTCGACACATACTCGTTTTGTAGTAGACCGGGTAATTTATTATGGAGAAGGTCGAGATGAGTATGTTACGTAATTTAAAAGAAAAATACTACAAATACATTTTTATTATAAAAAAAATAAACTAAATTATGATAAATGTAATTAAGTATTTGAGAAATTAAGGTTCTCGCCTATCTACTACTTTATTATAGGTCAAATATGAGATTATAAAAGTAAAATCATCAATAATTTGAGTAAAATTGCATGTATTCTAGGTAAACACGGGTAGAGAATGAGGAGAGTCATGACAGGTCAAGTCAAGTCGAGTATTCATGCCTGCTCCACCTCCAGGGCGGGTATTTATACCTGCCAAAAAACAAGTCAAAAGGTCAGGTAAGACGGGTCAGGTCTAAATTATCATATCTATCTGCCCAAAAACAAGTCAGGTAAAACTAGGGGTGCGCATGTGGGTGTATAATCCAAGGGTTGACATCGACCTACTCGCAAATAACCCAAACCGTCGTGGATGGGAGATTGATGTGGGTGAATTGTGGATCAATAAATCTCCTACCCGTACTTATAGGGTGATGGTTGGGTTGCGGGTCACCGGAATGATCCGCACCCCATCTTTACACAGAAAATAGTTGTTCCCTATTTATAATGACGAATGGTTATTGTATGTCTCAGCCGACACTACACACTGACCATCGACTTCTAAAGGCAGAAATAAATAAAAAAATTGGGCTACTACTATTGGTCACTATGTTGTGTAATGTCTATTAAATATTGAGATGGAAATGATAAACTAATAATTATTCCTAAGTCGCAAAAAAGTGAACTTCTCTACATAATGGGTTTATAAAGTAACGAAAGATTGGATACAAATTGGTGTCTCTATATGAAGGCAGGAGGTGTCTAAATTGATGCAATCTTACTAATTTGTGAGATATTTATTATAAATGTTAATCAACTTGCCCATTTACTAGTTGAAGAATTGCATTTGTGTGTTAACCCACAACCCAACCGCACACATCCGTCACCCACCCAATCTAATCTGAAGTAGTTTGTTGGTGGATTGGAGGTCGCAATTGTATCAACTTGTTGGTAAGTGCGTGGGTCAGTTTAAAATCGAAACCCACACATCCCATTCATTTCCCACTCCTAAGTTAAAGAGATCTGTTCAAGATGGTCATACCTACCTACGCGGTACTCTAAGTATGAGGTTTGAAGAAGCACAAGTGCAGCTATATAGGATGATCGACTAGGTAAAGAAAATTGTTATGTAGCAACATATTTGATAAAATTTTTTGCCATAGATATTCCCAAAAGTGAAACAACATATATGGGATACAAAAGTAAAGCCTTTGCAGGCTGACATAAAAAATAAGAGGGGACGCTTTGAAACCTTTTTGGCATGGATCGAATATCTGACCGAAATTCTACCTTTTGCAGGGAGAAAGTCAAGGATCGAGCCCATCAAAACTGAAGCAGTGCAGCAAACATACAACTGTGAGGACCGAGTGGCTGAAAGGCGACTATCATGCATCACATCCCTGCAAATCTAACAATTGAAGCGCATGTTTGACAGAGGTAGAACACATGATATACAATTCCTTGAAAAGGATACAGACTTCAGGGTACCAAACCTAATACGGAGAGCACTCCCAACTACCATTGGAAATCACTCCATCAAGTACACAAGTAGTAGCACGAAGCACCAAACGACGCCCCAACTAGACCTGGCCAAGTTGAAAAGGCGGTAAGAAGAACTCCATCCTTGGTAGCCAGCGCTGAAATGCCACCTACAAAAGAGCAAACAAACTTGCTCCTAGTCGGGCAGACCAAACAACCAAATGGATAAACATAGCAAAGAGCACCTTAAATCATAATCAAATTGTGACACTTAAGCAAGTAAAAAATGACATTAGTAAACAGTAAAAGTGGCCAGCGGGCAAGAGCAGGAGCAAAACCACCACCTGCAGGAGTGCAGGTGAGTGATTTACACACAATTTTATTTTACCAACACTACTTCCACCGCCTGTAAAAGTAAAAATACAGACTTATGCTAAAAAGCATGCTCATTAAAGTAAGGCTAACTACTGGGCGGGTTCATTAATTAAACACCAAACGAAGTGTCAACAAAAAAGAAGTGGCCAATAATATGGTGCCGCTGTAAAAAGTGTGGCACCAGTGATGCCATATCTGATTGGTCCATGCGGACTATGAAGTGGCACTAACTGGACTAGTTAAACCTCAATCCAAAGCCTGACCCATTAGACTTGGCCCAAATCGCAGGTAACCCAAATAGACGGAATTCGGTCTCGGGTCTCCGTCTTTTGCGTTTTACTATTTATTTTTTCGTCTTAATTGTTATTACTTTTTTGGCAGAAACATGGGAGAAGAAAAATAAATCATTGAAGCACATAGTTGTCTCCTCAATCTCCCCCTTCGACAGACGCTTCAAAATCACTTCTGGCGACATCTGCATCGTCGATAAAATCTCTAGGGTTTACCAAACGCTTCCACTGAAATCCTTCACTGCTTCCTTCTTTTATGTTTATTAGTTAAAACAAAGGCGAACAATTTCTCGTCTTCATTGGCCCTTCGTGTTGAACTGGGTCTCCGCCACAGTACAAGACAAATGGCACTCCATGAAAAAGCATGGGGGGCAAAGTTAATCAACAAGTTGTTCTTGTCAGAACTCTTCACTATTGCACAAACGAAGGGCCAAACATAAAAAAAAAATCATGAAGAAGCATGACCCAAACATCAAAATTTCACAAACGACAGATATATGTTGGGGCATCTCATCCCGGGAAGAAATGTTACCTGACCTCTAGCATCGGTCGCACTGTCGTGCGAAGATATCAACATCCTTGAAGAGCGAGGGCCAATAGAAGCCCGATTACAACACCTTCCGCGTCGTGTGGTTCCCGCCATGATGACCTTTCGTGGGTCCCTCGTAGCATTGAGACATGATGTCTCTCATCTCGTGCTCCATGACACAACGCCGGATCACGCCATCTGCTCCAATCCTGAAGAGGTAAGGATTCTCCTAGAAGTAATGCTTCAGGTCGGAGAACAACTTGCGCTTGGCGTGAGTGGCCATCCCCTTAGGAAACTTTTTGCCCACCAGATAATTGGCAAAGTCAGAATACCAAGGGGTGACTCTCTCCACTAAGAAAAACGCCATCAATCGCTCACCCGGGAAGGAGTCGTTGATCTTTTCCACGAAGATGTCCGATGGTGGAATTTCCAACCGTGAAAGATGATCGGCAGCAACATTCTTGGCTCCCTTCTTGTCCTGGATCTCGATATCGAATTCCAGCAGAAGCAAAATCTAGCGGATGAGCCTAGGCTTGGCATCAGCCTTGCTCATCAGATAGCGAATGGCAGAGTGATCTGTGTAAACCACCACATGGGAGAGCACCATGTAGGGTCGGAACTTGTCGAATGCATACACCACACCGAGCAGCTCCTTCTCAGTGGTAGTGTAGTTCTCCTGTGCATCGTTCAAGGCCTTTGACTAATCATATTGTTCATACAATTGCAGCGGAATTTAACTTGGGTGTTACATTAATTCATAAAATATTCCTATTAAATTTTGAAATGAATGACTCGCGTAATGGGCTAACAGTTCTTGTAACTAAATCCTGCAAAATAATTTATCTCATACTCTAAATCCATAGACATACACATATACCCACAACCATATACAATGACTTCCATAGCCATAATCACAGTTTCATACTCCACAACTGCATACCATACGGATACATGCCCTAGTCGTCACAACTTACACAACCACACAAATATACACATATCATCAACTTTCCACACCTGTGGATAGATAACACTACATCAGAAGCTAGTATGCACATGAAAAACATTCTCAAAACATTTTTACAAAAGAAGTGTGGATCACTGGCCAAAATCTCAAGTAGTCGTCCAAGCACAGAATAGTTGAAGACAATACTTCATCCCGCCTTCAACTCCTAGCTCTGCTCGTACCTATGTACGAGAGCTGAGGATCCATGGCATTAAACGCAAGTAAGTTGTGTTAATTGATGTGTTTTTTGTATCTTAAACTTTAAAATGGAGTTAATCATATCTGTTGGGCAAGCACATTAATTAAATACAATGTTTTTGTTTATGCTAGTTGATACGAACTCCATTTTAGATAATCATTCTAAACATATCAAATTACACTCTCGATAGTCAAATACGAAAATTGCCTCAAATATCCATATTTTATTTACAATTTTTCATTGTTCTGCAATTTTATTTGAACTATTTACCCAGATTGAGAAAAGATACCATAAACCCTATTTCATGTTTCCTTGATCAATCGGCAATGCACAAATTATACAATATTCTTGGTTCCTCCTAATTTCTTATAATTAATCTCATTGTTTATTCCAACCCAATTATATTGATTGTGTTTATCAAACTAGTTCCATATCCAAAAGTTCACTTTTATTCTTTTTTACCCTGAACATTGTGATTCTTAAAATTGTTAATTGTCACGATCGAATCAGAACGTTGGCTCCCCATTTGTTTGAGGTAAATTAGGAATGTTTGACATTCTTTTGTGAGAATGAATTCATTGCTTTCATTGAAATTTTTTTTATGATATATCTTTGTCAGTACAGGAAGAAGGTTCGATAGATCTTTTCAAATGGATCAGTTATCGTTTATTAGTGAAGAAGCAGCTGAGATTGATGGACAAATTACAGATATTTTTCGAACTCTATCGTATGTTGACTTTTCTTTCGATATTTATTTTTGAGTGTCCTTCATTTTGATTCACATTGTTTCCAGATTACAATCATGAATGTGTTTATCCACGGTCTAACAAGATTATGTTGTTTTTTATTTTTTTATTTTTTTGCATTAAGATGTTTACCAATATTTCGTTAGAAAAGAAATGCTTTTCTATGCTCATATGATGATTATAATTTTCTTTTTCAGAAATGGATTCCAAAAGTTGGAGAAAGTTAAAGATGCCAATAGGAAAAGCAGGCAATTGGAGGAGCTTACGGATAAGATGAGAGAATGTAAAAGGTATTTTAAATTTAAATATATGTTGGTAATTATTTCACTTTAACCTCTTAAAACCCCTTTAATTATTTAAATCTGAATAATTAATAATGAAATCATCACCTTTAGCCTCATCAAGGAGTTTGACAGAGAAGTGAAGAGTTTGGAAAGCAGAACTGATGCTGTGACAAATAGAATGCTAAGTGAGAAAAAACAGGCAATGGTAAATGCTTTTACCTTTTGATTAGTCTCACTTGAGTTGGTGGAAATTACAAAACTTTGATTTCTTAACCATTGAAATTTCGTTAGTACATTTAATTTATTTTTATGCAGATTAAGGAGTTAAATTCTTATGTTGCTCTGAAGAAGCAGTAAGTTCGTATTTTGTTACATATTTATACTGAACAAAAAAAATATTTGATATGATATGTTTACTATTCCCAATTTCCCTGATCACTATTATTCTGATTGCTAAGTCAATCAACATATATAATATAATTATGACACTAAGTTGGACAATGGGTTTAATTAAAAATCCTTTTTTATTTTCATTTGATAAATCCTCAACACATTCTCTTAATAGTTAGTTTATGTATACAGACATAATACTAATCTTGAGAAGAAGAAAATTGATCTGTTTGATGGGCCTAATGAAGGGTTTCATGAAGACAATGTACTACTTGCTTCAAGTAAGATATTGTTTTTCTATTTAGATACTTTAATTTACTCAATAATGGAAAAGATTGTTACTTGTTGCAATTTTCCCTTTTTTCATGTTTCCTTTTCTTATTTTATTGAAAAGAAGAGTGATAATTTGTTATTCATTTTGGAGTTCATCTTCATAGATAGTGTAATGGCTATACAACTTTTAGCACCACCAGTGCAGGTACTTACTAATTAAAGAAACTCCCTCACTAAGTAGTTTGATTTGGTTTCAAAGCTCTGTTAGATGAACTGTAAATTAATTATCAATTGGTGTATCACTAATCACTAACTAGTTGTTTGTATTGACCTTTAGTTGATTGTTAACATATCAAGACACTTAAATTTCTTGTAGCCATGACAAATGAACAACTAATGGACCATGGAAATAAAATGATGGATGAGACAGATCAAGCAATTGAAAGAGGCAGAAAAGTAAGTATATATCTATCAATCGGTCACACCAAACACTAACTCGAATTTTTGATCTAATAGTGTAACATCTATTTTATAAATTTCTTTAAATTGATATGATGCTATCAATACTTTTATTAGGTGGTTCAAGAAACCATCAATGTTGGAACAGAAACTGCTGCTTCTCTTAAAGCTCAAGTATGTAATTTACAAATAAGTTCTCCAATACCATCGTATAATTACAAGTTCAACATGTGAATTAATTATCAATTAATTTATATATCTTCTTATGTAACGATAACATTTTTTTGAATCTCCAGACGGAACAAATGAGTATGATAGTCAACGAGTTGGATTCCATCCATTTTTCAATGAAGAGAGCTTCAAAATTGGTGAAGGAAATCGGTAGGCAGGTCAATCTCTAGGATTTTAGCACATGCGTCTTTTTCGAATGCATAATAATTTTCGTATATTTCCTAAATGAACATGATTTTTTTTATTGCTAGGTTGCAACTGACAAACTTATTATGGCAATGCTCTTTCTTATTGTCATGGGAGTAGTCCTAATCATCATCATTAAGGTAATTAGTTAATTCAGCATCTCTGTCCTCCATAGAAACATTTTGATTTTCAGTTCATAGATTCTTATCATTCTCCTTTGTTAATATATTTTCCAGCTCGTGAATCCCAATAACAAGGATATCTCAGACATTCCTGGGTTGCCTCCACCCGCACAATCCCGCAAGTTGCTTTGGCATACAAATTAACTAACCAGAAAAAGGTTGTTGCGATTGGATCAAGAACGTGACCATGACAAATGAATGGCTTTCTTTTCTGGATACATTGTCTAGGGTTTTATTTCTATGATTACATTGTCTAGGACGATTTGAAGGTACAAAATCCATCATGCTCGAGTTGATTATACTTAGTTGTGCCAATTAAAATAAATCTCATTAAGCAGAAATCGAATTATTGCAATAGAGATTACATCGATGAAAGTCGAAAGAGGAAAACAGATTAAAAAGTTATTCAGAACATATTTGTAAATTCGTTTATAAGTTCATTAAAGATGTTGCTCAAAACCTGAAGTTAAACAGTTAAAACATTAAATTATCAAATAATAATACGTGATAGGAAAATGAACAAGGTTGCCAACCCTCAGGTTGACCTATCGGTTGGCCCGTTTTGACCATGACCAGATGAGAAAAACACTTAAAAGGCACCACAGTTTTGTAAGGTCTGAAGTAGTCAATTTTTGGTCTACGCTAATCTATTTCTCATTTTCTCCACCATTCGGATGAAATAATCCCAATTTCCACACAATTTTTTTTTTTTGATGAATAAGCAATTTTATTCATCAAGAAGGAGGGATATAAAACAATCCCCCCAACTGGAACCCAGAAAACCTCAAGTACAAAGTACACGACAATTAGCTCTTGGCCAGAATTACTAACAGAACCAAAACTACCAAGAAATAAAAGGAAACCCCAAAAGACACCCAGCTACACTATACTATTTACATAATCTTCTGTAATAGCAATCGCAACCTGAGAGGATCCATTCCTCAGCAAACGGATCAGCCCTTGCATCTTCTTCAAAACCTGGGTTACTGACAGAGCTTCACCAGACATAACTCTCCTGCAACGCTCTCTCCAAAGCTCAGCTACCACCATCACCCATAGTAGTCTATCCCGATAAGAAGAAGCACAATTCAGCCTGAATAACGAGATGGCTGTTACCAATGAAGCCTCCCAATCTGCCCCCACCACATTTCTACCTGCAAATATAGCCTGCAACACAAGCTGAGAGTAAGAGCACTCAAAGAAAAGATGATCCCTGGATTCCGCCGCTGAAGAGCATAACGAGCAGAGGTTAACCACTGTACTATTCCATCTCTGCACTTTATCTAGAGTAGAGATCCTGTTCAAGATGATCAGCCAGACAAGCAGTTTATCTCTCGGTGTCCCAAAAGACTTCCAGACCAAAGTAAACCACGGAACTGCTGCCCATTTATCTCTAATAGTCTCCCATACCTTCTTAACTGAAAATTTCTCCATCACACAGTCCCCCCAGAACACTCCAGCAGACCTAACTGTAAGATATTGAGCCACTACTGGCCTAATCTTCAGTACTTTCCTCCAAGCCCATGAACAGGGTATGGAGGTAGGTATATCCCAAATCGATGTATTCCACACAAAAATTCAAATGTGTGTTATAGACTTATAGTTATATGGCCCATGGAATTCAATAATTAATCACAATGGAACCTTCACTTCTCAGTTCTGTCCTTGTCATCTAATTGCCTAGAAAAGTTAAACCCTGAAGTACACGATCGACCAACTGCAAATGGGAAGATGGACCCATAAAACCCACTCCATTTGGATTTTCCCGGAATTGAAGTCTAGGAAGGAAACTGGAAATAGGAAAATCAATGTAAATCTTATCACCCATTCGAGCTTAATCGACAATATAAGAAAGTTAACGACCAACAATAAAAAAGAACACACAAATTTACAAGATTCACTAACATAGTGTGTGTTAGCTAGTCCATGGACGGGAGAGCAAGATTCACTATATTTGAGGAGATTACAAAAGACAAAGGAGTACGATAAGTATATATAGTAATTTTTCATAAGCCTAACCCTAATACAATCTAGTAAAAAGTAAGGTTACAAACCATGTCCACATCAGAAGGCCAAACATGTACAAGCTTATATACTGGGGCAACACCTTGCTCCCTCGAGCCCTCTAACCGCACGCTTTGGCTCTGGACCCCAACTCATTGACCAGAGTAGCGAACTTCTCGTTACTTCCATTCGACGACAGATAATCCAATTCAAGCCATATCAACAAATCTATTTAAGTAGCATCATCAAATATAGTTCCGCCCTACAATTCATACACATTTGGACTTCATACAGAGTTCACAGCGCCACTATGTACTATTCCTATTTCCCTTCGTTTCCTGTCCTATTTTTCCTTCATAACTGTATATGTATTCAGTATCCAATTTTGCTATGGTACACACACCCAGATCTGTGTGCACCAACTCAAAGCACAGGGGGAGGGCCACGTCCCCCAACCAATCAACGGAGGGCCAGGATTGATCGGCTGGGGCATGGGCTCGGGGAAGGAGACGAGCCACGCTTGAGCTGCGGGGAAGCCGAACTAAGGGTACTGTTGGGGCCGAGGAGTGAGAGATGGGTGGGGTCTGGGAACAATTTTTTGGGTGTTTTGACGGGATTTAGGTCGAAAAATCCAGCCCCAAAATTGGTTTCATTAATTCCACCCACCTACCAACCTCTCTCTCTCAATCTCACGGCTCTCTTCTTCTTCCTCCTCGTCTCTTCTCTTTGTCGGCCTTGCCGCCATTGAAGACGAGAATCCAGAGAAAAACGCAGGAAAGGGCAGTCTGATGCAAGATCGGTCTTTCGAAGAGAAGAAGGAGATGCAAGGAAGGGAAGATAGTGTGTCGAAGATGGGGGATTATGTCGAAGGAGATGCTGCACCAAAAGAGGAGGTACACCTTGAAGATCTGTCGACTGAAAATGATAAAGGTTATGTCGAAGGAGACAAACCAGAAGATGAGGACCTTGCTGATACCATCCTCAAAGCTGATGGTTCATCTGATGGTTTGTGGGGCTAGCAAGAGTGGATGGCCGCAGTTGATGAAATAAAAGGGTGTATGTGAAGACCAAAAAAACAAATCCATTTAGACTTATATATGTTTTGGTTGTTGATCAGCATTGAATGTGTTAGGGTTTACATTTATGGTGCTTGAATTTATTATGTTTTAAGGTTTCTTCATTGCATGGTGTTCTGTGCTTGCATGAATACTTGGTCATTCTATCCTGAATATCACTAGTGGAGGAACCGAAACATGAATATTGCTTGCATGAATACTAGTTAGGTGTAATGACCATATTACTTATTAAATTTCATGAATATTACTTTTACGTCATCGAATATTAGTTGGTACAGAATATTAGTTAGCCGTAAATACGCTTCATCTTTATAACAATATTCGTTGACCTTCTAATGAATACACATTCATCTTGAAAAGAATATTTATTGACCTTTTAATAATACGCACTCATCTTTAAAAGAATATTCATATACATTCTAATGAATACGCCTTCATCTTTAGAAGAATATTTGCTGACATTTTAATGAATATGCATTCATCTGTAGAAGAATATTAGTGGACATTCTAATGAATAATCATTGACATTTTAAAGAATATTCGTTGACATTGTAATGAATATCCGTTGACATTTAAAAAATATCCGTTGACATTCTAATGAAAATTCGTTGACATTGTCAATGAATATTCGTTGACATTCTAATGAAATATTCATTGACATTGTAATGAATATTAATGAAATTGTAATGAATATTTGTTGTCATTGTAATGAATATTTGTTGACATTGTAATGAATATTTATTGACATTCTAATGAATATTCATTGAGATAGTAATGAATATTAGGTGACCTCGTTTGAAATACACATCCATTTGTGAAAGAATATTAGTTGACTTTGTATTGAATACTTTTATTGGTTTGATTTGACTAATTGTATTCATTTGTGCAATTCCAATGACAGGCTATGCAGCACTAGAACATCAGTGCTTAAGGAAGAACTTGCAATTCAATACAGTAGATGATTGCAAGAGCTTCTATTCAAGATATGGTCATGATCGAGGTTTTGGTTTTCGAGTATACAACGAACACACGTGGTTGCACAAGAACAACAAGGGAGAGCTTGAGGAAAAATATTGGTATCTTTACTATTGTTGCAACAAACAAGGCTTTTCGAATGTGAGTACTAGAAATCCAAAGGTCATTAAGAAACGACCGGAGGATAGTGTCATTGTTAAAACCCAACGTAAAAGAAAAAGAAACGAGTTAAGGGTTTGGTGTACAGCTCGTGTTGCCTTACGGTGGGATGTCAATAGGAATGCATTCGTGGTTAGTCATTTCAACAATATACACAATCATGAACTGCACTCAAAGGAGCATGCGCAGTTTTTGAGGTCTAACAAAAGTGTTAGTGAGGCTGAAGGTCTGATAGTTGAAGCCAATGCGGATGCTGGTGTTAGTTTGAGCTCTTCTTACAAGCTAATTGCTATGTGTGCTGGTGGTTACGAAAATCTTAGCTTCTCGAAAAATGACCAAAAGAACCATCTGAACAAGCGAAGATAGAAGAACATGGCACATGGTGAAGCAACTTTTTTGTTGGAGTACTTTCAGAAGAAAATGGAAATCAAACCTAGATTTTATTATTCCGTGGAAGTTGATTGTGATGAGCAAGTTGCTAACATATTCTGGTCGGATGCCCAGATGCGAGCTGCTTATATATTGTTTGGTGACTCGATCTCTATCGACACAACTTATCGTACGAACAAAGCCGATCGCCCATTGGGTACGTGTTTTCTTCTGTTGTTTGCATATAATTTTCTATTCAAATACATTTTGTGATAGTCATGATAGCTTGAATACTCGTCCGAATTTTTTGAATACCAGTCTGGAATGTATGAATATTACCATGGACGGTGACAATAATGAAATTTTCAAAATGTGTTATGTGAGAATGTTTGTTAGTTTCAACCACCACCAACAGACTTGCATATTTGGGCCGTGTTTGTTGTATGACGAGACTAGTGCATCTTTCGAGTGGTTGTTTGATGCGTTTCTTCGTTGCATGGATCAGGAGCTCCCAACCACCATCTTCACTGATCAGGATGTGGCTATGGTCAAAGCACTTCGTAATGAGTGGCCCGGTGTCTTCCATGCATTATGTACGTGGCACATTTTAATGAATGCGAAGAAGCATTTTAAGGACAAGGATGTTTGGAAAAAGCTAAGCATTCACCTCACTTACTTATTCTACACAGTTGATAGTGATACTGAATTCGACATTGCATGGAAGGACATGCTTGGTGAATGCTTCCCCGACAGTG